TGTACATGCCACATACTCACGCATGTATCGAGTACATGTGTTCAGAGTCTCGTGGTGTCTACACGGAGAAACGGTACTTTCAGTTTCATTTGGGGTACCGCGAGTGCAAGATCGAGCGTTACTCGCGGCTCAACCGATATTCTAGCAAGACGCGTTAATACCCGCGTGAAAGTACATCAACATTTCCGAGGAATAAACTCCAGTCAATCCACCGAATTACCCGCAACACTCAAAGACAGGTACTTAAATGGAGCCGGTGTTACTTCAATTTCAATTCAAACGAATAAATTTCGGTGGTGCAGTGACACGTCGAATTCCCACACATGTCAGGAATTTTATTAATATTAAAAATTTAATCGATTGAATTGATAGTTCAATTTAATTCACCTCATCTCACTGCGAAAATTTTGTCAAATTAATCTCGACGTTTAATTTCCTGGAGATATTATTTTTATTGCGAAATGTTTTTGCTGTTAATTTTTATCTGTATATTTAAGCAATTTGTAATGATCTCGTACACCGCTCATTTAATTAGCGAGATCTCCGCGATGCCATAACTGTTTTCGCTGTTTTTTTATTTAAAACGCGGAAGTGCAGTTTGAATTTTCACCGTGTGTTGAGTTTTATGGAGTAATCGAGAGGTAGTGATAGTGATGCTGTGATGAAAATAATAGGGTTGTGCAATTAGATGAAGAGATATTGAAAAATTTTCAATCAGAATCGAAGAAAAAAAAATGATTTTCTCTGATAAATGATTGAAACGTGTGCAACACTTGGAAGATCGCCCAAGCCGTTCATTTCCTTATCCCGATTTCATAAATTACCGCACCAATCGATGCCAATTATTCTGATTGAAACCTCCTGTACCTCTCGACAATTGTTGACGCAATACCCGATGATCACTCCCTGAATACACCGATGTGTGCACACGGTACACACCGTAACGCGTTTTTTCACCTCAATGTGTCAATTGTCCTTTTGAAACTTTCACCAGAATAAAAACAAATCGGTAATTATTATGCAACAACACATAACACGGTGTAAAATCAAAATAGTGAGTTTCTATTTATGCGAGATGATTTATCACCAAATTTCCGTATCCCGCACTCGACCAGCTTTCACCAAATTTCATCCGTTGACAAGACAACTTATCTCATTCGTCCTGTTTGTCTTTAAACTCTCTCCACTTGTTCCATTGTCTGCGCATATTTGCAGTAAAAATAAAAAAACCATTTCGGAATGGAGGAACAAAGAAAATGAAAAGCGCACCTCCAAGCTAGAGAGAGCATAACGGCTTGCAAATTCACCGCCAACTGGACACACCATAATTTACAATAAAATTTAATGACAACCGATCATTACCAGTAATTATTACCCCGTATTAATTCTCCAGGGATTTTCACCCATAAATCACTAATAAATTGGATTGAATGATGCGATGCGATGCGAAATGACAATTTTTTCAAAAAAAATTTCTTTTTTATTTGTTAAATAAATTATCGTTATTGTTATTATACAATGTTGAGGGGTGGAATTTTTCAGGAGTGACGAAAGGAAAACTCGATATCGAATGTCCTCGACCTGACTCGCGTTCTACATATGTCCGAAGCCTGAATTTTCACTCTCGAGTCGAATAAATGGAATTTTTTTTTTAACGAGCATCCGGTGGCGCTTCATAAATGTCCCTGACTCTTCTCCTCGGTATCGGTATATTCAGGGGGCAACACTCGAGTGAAAGTTTGCGGATCGAATATTTTTTGCGGTGTGTTACAAGCGAAGAAATTTGCGGCGCATCGCAGACTGATCTTCACCGCTGGATTCATGGTCGACAGGC